TATATATATATATATATATATATATATATATATATATATATATATATTCAGCACAAATTTCCCATACCTTAAACCATGAAGGCGATATACATAAAGATTATTTGGGGTGGGCGCGACTCTAGAGACTACTATGCCTATTTCTCCCCACCGAGTATGGATGTTGGACAATTTCAGTGAAAGAATGCCGTTATTTTTCTCGCAGTAACTGTTAATGGAGCTCGAATGGATTGATTGAATGGATCACATTGTTTCAGAACAAATTCATTTTTTTTTTTTTAATGATTACATCAAAATGGTAATGCAGAGAAATATCTTAAATAGTTTAAGTTATTAAATCATCACAGCATTATGTTAAGACTGACCAATACATTGTTATCTATTATGGCGGGCACAGCAGTAACGTTCTGTTTACCAAAGCCAATAACGACATGCAGAGAATGTGAATAAATTCATTTTGAAGTTAACATAATGAAAGTGTTGGCACTCTATTTTTCCCTTCTCTGCCGCTGCAGCAGATGAGAGCGAGGTCTCTGGGATGGTGTGGGAGTTCGCTATCTCCCAGCCTCCAGATGGCTCCGTCTTCTCTTATCTAGAAGAATGGGTGCTGCCTCAATTTTTCAACTCGCCTTATCTGTGAATCCTTTAAATTGAATATTTACTGGGCCTATGTTTTCCGCCTGTGTTAGCCCTCTGAAGTCGACATTCCTCTTGCTTGTCGAGACAGGCCAAAAGGTTTTTCTCACTCATACGCTCTCTTTGTCTGCCTTGTCAAGCAATGGGACAGTGATTGATTATGTGATTGTCAGGAGAGAATGGGAAGGTTAAGCAGTTAAGCAGAGAGCAGTGGAGACATATTAACGAATGGCCATAGAGGGAATATGTTGAACAAAAGAGAACCGTACATTACCCAAACATGACATCAGGCAGACCTCCATTTTATGTCAGGAGAAAAATGGGTTGAATTAATCACTTTCCCAACAGTCTGTTGTTTCTTACCCGGTATACACTAGAGGTTAAGAGAACACTTGAGCAGCTATTGAAATCACCTTATTGCAATATGACTGGCTGTGGTCTATCTGCATAAACAAGCCGTGCCATAGCTACTCCCTGGTAAGTGTCTGGAAATGCCTTTTCAAAACCATTTTGTGAAATGCCTCCATGTTGGATTAATCAGCGCAGCTGAGGATGTAATTGCTGTGCTGAAGTCAAAGCTGTAAGAGCAGATAATGAACACTGACTACAGGGCTGCCAGAATCCAGGGCAAAAGAAATGAGGAGTTCAGGGACCAAAATGTCTACAGCATTCTTTCAAAAGCCCCGATTGAAAATGAGGAAAAACTATATTTACAGTGAGTGAAGACCATCCCCTTAAAACAAAACTTAGTGGTTACTAACATGGAATTTGTATAGCTTTTGACAGCTGCATTGTGCTGTTGGAATTTGAACAGCAACTTGAGGTAAAATTACATTTGCTCCAAGGATTCTCCCCTGCTCTTTAAATTATTTGCGCACAGTTTTATGTATTTAGTAACATGCATCAGTTAGTTACTATATCGGTCATTTTCTAACATTAGGGATGAGCTAAGAAAGGTGAAGAAAATCAACAAGGGTTTATTCTGACCGTTGCTGCCCTCTGGTGGGGGAATAAGTTCAAAGTCAAACGTAGAAAAAGATACACCTCTCTACTCAAGGATGCCATTATTGGTATATCTGACAGACATCTATTGTCCTGCGCACTAAAGGGTTTGCACAACAAAGCTAAATGGTCACAGTATAAATTATATCTGTAATCATAAATCATCATCAGACGGCATTTAATAAAAGCAAATGGGAGCTGTGGGCAGTGTTTTTCTTTTTATCGTTTAATGGCAATCTCACTGCCAGCCCACTAAAATGTTGCTTTTTCTCAGTCTTTAATTTCAACAAGTGTAAAGACTACATTCTACCCTTTTATTATCATTCCCTCCCCATCGCAATAATGAGAGGACTTCAGATTTAATTAGCTTAACGAAATTAAAGTATAAAGGACATCTTCGATATTATGAAAAGCACTCATAATGATATACTCTGTAGAGCTACTTCTAAAATTCACTGATGAGAAACAGGAGAGGCTACACTTATTATTAACCGATATCTGTGAAATAAAAGTAAGAATGGAAAGACACACACACACACACTGCTGTACAATGTGGGGGAAATGCAATTATGCTGTGATTAATATGGTGACTGAACTGTTCTAATATACTGGCCGTGTTCAGAGGTGAAAACCATCCAAGCATAAGGTGCAGTGCACTTGGGTTGCATATTAACATTCTTTAGTCTTCTACTCAGTACTGAGTGACGAACAGCTGCTGCCTCTCGGTCTTATCTGTATAATTGGAAAGTGCGATCAATATAATCATTGAATTGAAAGCACAGTAGTTTTCTTAAGCAGCTTACTTTTGGGACAGCAATGGGATAACACATCTCTACATACTTCCCTCTAACTAAGTATTGTATTAAAAAGTTATTAAAAAGTACACAGCCTGAATAGTTGTTTTTCTGAACAGAGGAATTCATAACTACAAATTCACCACGATGAGTAAGCCACTTCCCTCCGCTGCTATTCTGCCAAGCTGTCAGAGCTGCCGTGAAGCCAACACTGTCACGAACTACATTAACTGAATAATATTATCTACTCTTTGGAAAAACTAAAAAAAGAAATTGATTTCAGCGAGAAGCAGATAAAAGGGCCGAAAATGTGGAGTTAAAAAAGCTGAAGATAAAAGCTAAAGCCTGCAGATCACAGCGTCACATGGTGATCAGGACAGAAAACCAGGAAATTAAGGAACAACCCTGTTCCTGTAAAGCAGAATAGGCATTTATTCACTGTTACAATCATTGAAAAAACAAAAAGCAGCATATGTATACATTGAGTTTACCTTCGGTAACTCGTGTAGGATAGAAGTGCAAATGCTAGTTAGTGATATGCTAATGTTAGCGCCACACATTTTTACGTAGAAACATAACATTTTAGAAACGCATATCTCCTTCCAACCTTTTCAGATGATGAGCATCACTATTAAACAACGTTAAACTAGCTCAAAATCCACAAAACCAGCCTGAAAATAAATCTCAAACATGAGTCTATTGAGCAAAGCTGGTTAGTTGTGAGACCTTCCTCAGAGCTGGACAAAACTACGCTACGATTGGCCGGTCGGCGTTCGAGGGTGGGACTTATCGAAGGGTCAATTGTGGGTTGTGTTCATTCAATCAAGCATTACAATGGTGGTTGTTGCAGGGCCCACTTGGCAGAGATCTACACTCTACTGAGTGCAGTCCTCTAGTTTGTTTTTGTGATTTACGTGAAGTATCTGCTGTAACACAACAATTTGCCTTTGGGATTAATAGAGTACTCAAGCTAGCTAGCTAGCTGCAGCTATCAAGACAGACAGAATTCCAAACCGTGTGCACAACATTCACAAGGATTGGCCTTCTTGTTGGAAGTTTAGCAGTGTTAATCACAGAGCAGTATTTTAAAGAAAAGTCATAGCTGCAGCAACAATAAATTCTCCACATCCCCATTACCATGCTCCAAACCTTTCCATCATCTCAGCATTTTAATTAAAACAGTGATCAACTTTTGACATGACTTTCTGAATCTGATTTCTGATGTAATTCTGCAGTCATCAAAAATGTACTTTTTAGAAACTATTATTAAAAGTAGCACAATTATACTTCCACAATTTATATTACTGGTAAAATACACCTGAGGCCAGTGGCATTTCCTAATTGAGTAGTCTTTTTTTAACTCATGGTGATTTAAAGTGCTTCTCTGTTATGCTATCTCTGCACAGTTTCATTGGGGATTTTAAAGAAAGTGTCATATATAGAAAACCCTTTTTTTTTTTAAAGGTGAACTGACAGTAACCTAATGACAAGAATGTGGCTTAAGCTCCCTCATCAAACAATGAAAACGTAAGGAATTTATATTTTTTGTGCTGCCATTCACATTCCACAGCGAGGTCGACAATATGACTAAATGATTTCGTTAATTTGAATTCAAACAGTGTCGGCTGGTGGTCCACTCCGCGCCGTGGGAGGATTGGTAGAGTAATATCAACACAGTTGTGATTACTCCATTGAAGCAGTAGGGCGCTCCAATCAGAGCCGAATCGCTCTCCTCATTACAGACTACAAGGCCAGATCTCAGTGGGTGGACCACAGAATCAGGATTTGCATCTTCCCGCTGAAATTAATTGAAATTCATTTGCGGCACCCCGATGCTCCCCATCAACACAGACTCGTTCAAATTTGCACAATCCACCCCGGATTCATTATAAGCACAGGAGCATTTCAAGTTTGAAAGCATGTAAGAGCAGAGGTTGTTTTTGCTGTGGTCTGGACCTCTGCATTCAGGCCTGACTGAAAGCTGCAGTTTACAGTATCAGATGTATCTTTCTGGGAACAATATTCTTGTTAAGGCAGAGCAATGTAATCTGACCAGGTACATGTATTGCTCCAGTGGAGTGGTGCCTGGATGTACTTACTCTTACTTAAGGCCTCTGACAGCACAAAGTGAAAACCTACCACATATCACAAATATGGCCAGATACACCTCATGCATTTAGATAGTAATTAAATTAGTCAAAAACAGAATGTCCTGCAAACAGAACGCTCCCCATCCTAGTACCTTTACACCAGCAAGGATGCACTACGTGGCCATTGCGATCATACTGAATCCCCCACAGACCAGGAATGGTAACTATGATGGGAATTAATGTCTGAAGATGGTTGATTTTGAATGCTACAATGGCAACAAGCATCCCTTTATCATACATGGGAAAATAAAATATCCCATGCCAAATTGTTGCCATCCTTGTTTTTTGTTTTTCCTTGTTTTCTAAACAGTTTGTTGTTATGCATTCACAGAGCACGCACTATTTACACACCACAGGCAAAAGCTTTCCTCTCTCCAAAGCAAACCAAAGTACCACTCAAGCAAAAAAAACAATTATCACAAACACATTAACAGCTAATTCGATCACCATTTCCATCACTACTCTTATAAACCATTAAGACCTCCACTACCACAGAATGCTAAAGAACCAAACTCGTGCAAATACTGTGCCATCTGTGGACAAATCTTAGTTGGTGGATTTGTAGCATTGCAGCTGTTTATCAGTCGAAATGGGCGATGTATAAAACACACCTAACAGCATTAGAGGGACGTCAAAACCATCAATATTTAACAACCCTTGCAGATAAATGCACTCTTACCTTGGGATGTTGTTCTCGCCCGGTGCTCCAAATGCCAAACTCTTGACTTGAGTCTGCTGTGGAATCCTTCAGGTTTCTGGGATCCTCCATTACTCCCAGGACCTAAGGTGGGCACCCAGACACAGTCAGGAAAGAGGCCCAGCTGAATATGCACCTCCTGCACCAGCTCAGGAAGTTCAACCTGCCTCAGGAGCTGCTGGTGCAACCTTCTAACAAGAACATGACTTTATGGGTTGAAGAATTATGTTGTCTTGATATCAAAGTATTGTGCAATATTACCACGTGAAGCAAAAAAAAAAATCTATTTTATAATTTAATAATTTTTCTTAAATACACTACATGTATTATAATTTATAAACATATTTTTTCCCATTATCTTATGTTCTCATTACACAGCTACTGTCTTCCTCAGTTGCTCTGCTTCCAGTGCAGCTTGTTTTAAGTAGAGCTTTTATCCAATCAGATCTCACCTCTGTGTCTCTAGGTAAGAAGACAGGCCCGAGGCCTGCAGAGTCTCACCTGCAGCCAGTGCAGATTAAAGTAAATGGGGACGATATTGTTGATTCTCATAGTGTTCAACCAATCAGATCTTTAGTTTGACATGTTGGGCGTATTCTTTGACTATCAGAGCCTGCGCGCCGGCCTATAATGACGTCAGCATTACATGCCGCCAGTGTCCGTGTGTAGCTTTCCCGCGAGGTACAGAGTGTGCTGTGATTGGTCAGTGGGCGAGCACGTGACTATCGTGAAACGAAATTTAACAGCCAGCAGAGGCTGATGGGTAGTGAATCACATCACGTGATGCAGCTCAGCCAATCAAAATGCATTCGGACTGAGTGAGATGCACCATGATAGAGGAACCTGAGCCGAGGAAAGACATTGCAGAGCAGTCTGTTCAATGATAGAGTTGGGAAAGTAAAATCCTATGTTAATCTCTTTGGGTCGCGGCTTGTCATTAAGGAATGACAGTAGATCCCACAGCCAGACCAGCTGAGAACATTATATTTTCTTGAATTTAGGCTTTTGCATTTTCTAAGTGCTCTGGCATTGTTCAAACGACTCGTACCGAACGGTTTAATACTAAGATGTACGTAGTTACAGCCTTAAAAATGAATAATAGCTGTGGTGCCGTCATGTGGTTGTAAGGTGGTATTTCAGCTGCAGGACAGCAGTGAAGGCCCAGGTATAAAATGCACGGCCCGCCGCTGACGTGAAGTGACCCAAAGGCCAACAAACTCCCTAATGCTTTAGAGAAAATACAACATTCTAAGCCTTACAAAAAGCCTCAACCTCCTTAAACATTACAATAACCAACTGAATGTCCTCTCAACAGCATTGTATTTATCCCACAAAACAGCTTAAAGGACCCAAAACACAATTTCATTTGGCACAGTAATCGTACTTTGTTTACCAACACTTAATCCTAACCCTGTTTTCTGACTCAGCTATGCAATAAAAGCACAGGTGGAATTAATAACGTTATTGAGGGCTGCATTCCATATAGATGAGCCAGTTCCAGGGTTCTGGCCATGTTTTTGTGCATTTTGAAGCATTTTCTGTGACGACACGCGCGGTCTGGAAATCTGGACAGTATTTGAACGTTTGAAGAGCGGATGGCGGCTCAGTGTTGTCAAACACGTGGGTTTTTTGTTTTTTTTTCAACTAATAAATACTTTTACAAAACACAAACATGGTAGCTCGAAATTAATCATCATTGCAGACGTGACAAATGTAAAAACGTTGAGAGCATGGTGGGTAAGTAGGTAACTGGACCTGTAGCCTGCTGAGTCTTTTAATGGTAGCGATTTCATTATTTGGCCAACAGATGGCAACATTAAATCCACAGGTCTCTACGGTGCTTTCAAGTGTTCCTCGTAAATTATACCGTCTTGTTTATCCAATATGAAACCATCGTTAACTCGTTCACTGCAATGCTTGTATAGCGTTTGGAAGTGAAGAAGGTACAATAAGAAGGAGGTAGTAGCAGTTAAAGTCGATATGCCATTCTAATGAGAGCATTTGTGTCTGTGTGCTTATCGCGTAGAAAATCGGAAACTCTATTTATTCTTTTTTCCGCCATGACCTGAATGCATCAGTCAGCACAACTGCCAGTTATGTACAGGTTTGTTCTACATTTGACTGAGGCGGAGAGCTGGAAAGTTCGCACTGTTGATGCAGTTGTTAAACAAGGTGGTCAACAAGTTTCTTTTAACGACCCAGCAGGTAAGTACATCGTGGTTTAAACTGAATTGTTTCCCGCTATTATATAGATGTATAAACTTCTATTGGAACATGAAGATGCATCATTGTTTTTACTGTCCAGTGGGCATTTTCATACATTAGCTATTATATGAGCTGATACGTCAAGATTGTTTTGATAGTGTGTTTCTGCGTGTACTCACTGTGTTTTAATTATGTTCTATAGTGAGAATGCACGATCCCATCATACCATGGGGGGATTTAAACCTCACCAATAATAGTGTAATGTTTTCTAAGTAGGACTTTAAACATGAGATATAAAGCAGTAAGTTTGCAATGATGCTCTTATGTTTTGTTTTTTTTAACTGTCACTGCAATATTTCTGTAATATTCCAAAATGGACTTATCTGTGCAGTGAGTTCCTGAATTAATGATATGTCCAAAATAGCAAATGCTATGCATGCCTTACGCACTATATTGCGCAGGTCGGTCACTGACGTGTTCTCTCTTCTCACAATATGCTTACCAGGAAAAGTGCATTCAGTGCTTCAACCAGAATCTGGATGAAGTCCCTTGGACATCTTGTGGTTCTCTCCTCTCTGTGTTGTTTGATATCTGGATACTCTGAGAGAGACAGAGTGTATGACTTAATGTCCAAATACCCCCTTATCGATGGGTAAATCATGTATATTGTCTCTTCTGCACAGCATTTTCAATCATGGAAATTAATTAATGGATTTATGATTGAAATGCCTCTTCATGACTTCCATTTCTTACGCCCTCTCTCTCCATCGGTCAGTCATAATGACCTCGCTCTCCAGCTGAGGATACGCCACAACAATCGGCTGAGCCAAGTTGACCTTCACAACGTTAGCAAAGTGGCCACCGACATCACCCGACTCCAAGCAGGCCATGTACAGGCACAGGTATCGCAGTTTAATCAATCAGTCTTTCACTCCTGACCCTGATCAGTTCTATCGTATAAGTTGTCCCAGAATAACAGCATCTACTAAATTTATGTTGTGGAAAGATCAAACCAATTACAGGCACTTTAGTAACTTAGATACCCCTCTGGCTCTCTTGTGTCATGTACCCGTCCCTTTGTCAGATGTTTGCGGTCTACGTGATGTGTGGGGCCCAGGAGAAGGATGCTGTGAGGCTGACTCTGGAACAAATAGATGTGGTCAGACGCATGTGCACTGAGTACCAGGACTTTGAACTGGTCACATCTGCCCAGGGTATAGTACACCTCAACACAGCATCCAAGCAATTTACCCACAAAACCACTATGGAGATGAAAGAGGGATTGAATGTAGTTGATTATCTACAATTATAAATGAGTGGGGTATTTCTGTTTCATGTGTGAATGTACATCAAAAATGTCCATAATCCTGTGATTTGTGAATCCATACTTTTGCATGTCTTAACAGTCCATATTTGCAAAGAGAGACATGCAAGTAATATCATCTTTGCGTCATTACTGAAGAATGGAATCACACACACTCGCTAACACAAAAAAATTATTTCCCGTTTCCCCTGAGGCATTCATTTTGGATATTGTGTGTACAGTATGTGAAATAAATGTGTGTCTGTCACTGCAGAGCTGAGGAATTCTGAGATGAGGCATAAGATTGCCTGTCTAATAAGTATTGAGGGGGGCCACTCCATTGACAGCAGCCTGCCAGCCCTGCGGATGTTTTACCAGCTCGGGGTGCGCTCCATGGCCCTGACACATTCCTGCAACACACCCTGGTAAACAAGCGATCTATTCTGAATGCATTATTGTATTTAGAATGTCTCATATGATTTATACAATGCAGAAAGTCAATGATGGCTACATGACTCAACAGAGAATTAATACTAGGGATACATAGGATGATTTTGCCTGAATCAGAGCTACGCCTTTACCTTTTTAGCTTTCGTTTGTCGTATTCACAAGACAACACTGTCATCATTTGTGGTTTTGAAAATATTATTTTTCAATGCAGGGCAGAATCATCCTCAAAACTTTATAATGTCTATCAAAGACAGAACAACAGCCTGACACACTTTGGGAAGGTAAGCTTATTGTTTAGTATCAGTAATATCAACGACTGTACAGAATTGTTACTTTTATCGCATTGAACAAAGCATGTTGGCTGGATTCGGCTGGCCTTTTTTGAGGAGGTATTAGAAAATAATACTATGATGAAGATTCAATTTGATTTAAAGTGAGAAACCTGACATTTGATAGCTATGACAGTTAATGATGATGAATGATTACTGACATAGAATTTAAAAGGTTTTTTTATTCTTCAAATTCTGTAAATAGTGACTAAAATGTTATTTAAAAAGGCAATAGAGTTTTAGTATAGAAATACATTAGAATCATCTGTGTATTATATAGAAAAGATATATATATATATATATATATATATATATATATATATATATATATATGTGTTCCTCTTATTTTGTATTAGTAGCAGAAGTAGTTGTTGTTTTCATTATTATAATGATAGTGCTTTAAATAATAAAAGTCCAAAAGGAGAGGATTATGATAGTAATTTTTCAGCCTTGAGACATTCCAGTAAAAGATTGGGCCAAAGAAAGTGGACCTTGTTATTGTTAAAATCGGTTAATGTTCTTCATACTAAATGCTCTGTAGCAATTGATTGCTCTCTGCATGAGTGTGTTTACCTGCGTGTAGGTGTAACCATGTCCTGTTGTCGGCTGATTTGACTTCCTTGCTTCCCACGATACTGTAAATGGCTTTTGAATGTGTTTTCTGTAGGCCGTGGTGGAGGAGATGAACAGACTGGGAATGATAGTGGACCTCTCCCACACGTCTTGGGACACTGCCTGGGCCACGCTGAAGCATTCCAAGGCACCGGTTATTTTTAGCCATTCATCTTCCTTCTCCATCTGCAGCCATGGCCGCAACGTACCTGACTGGCTGCTGCTTGATCTGGTGAGAAAACTAATTCACTGCGTGATGAATTGCTTGTTTACTTACTTGATTAAATCAATCCAGTCACTGATTAAGTTATATTAATAATAATTCTCATTTATACCTCTGACAAAGAACATGCAATTTGTTTCCATAGTTAGATTATTTTTGTGTATAAACCGGATAAATACATTCTGAATGGATTTCCACAATTAAACTGATTCTAGCCCACTAACAGTCAGTATAATTGATAATGGTATATTTGCAGGATCAAGTAATCAAGTTAAGATCTCTCTGCTGTGTTTGTGTTGTTCCATTTTTACAACCATTTGCTTCCTACCAATGTCCGCTCTCATCTCAGCATACCCTGCACAACCATGTAAAGCCTGATAATGACACGCTGGGTGAGATTGATGATCAGTGGATCAACGGCACTTTGTATATTTTAGAGTGTTGTATTCGCAAGTCAGTTAACTGTGTGGTACAGTTTCCAACATAAAGCAATGATTCACAGTGAGTGTTCTTCCTCCAGCATGTTGTAAGCAGTGAGAACAAGACACTACAGGAATGTTACGAGCCTAAGCGCCACGGCGTTTATCCAACAGCTCTTTAGTTGATTTCTAGTATACTTTCAGCAGAGTGCTATGGGCGAGACTCTTATCTTGATTGTTTTGAAGTTGATGATCAAAGAATCAAACCTGAATGTACTGTTTGTCTATTTAAAGTTAAGTATCAACTAAATACCAGTAGTATTAATGTAATTTTTGCACTCTGTACTTGTGTCTCTTTCCCCCAACCCTTCTCTGAATTTCCCTTTCAGCCACCATTAGTTCATGTCCTCATTCAGCTTCAGTTCAACCAACTCATTAACTTCTTCACTCCTCCCACTTGGGTCCCGATCGTTTGTTTATTATATAGAGCAGGCTGTATTTTGCTTACAATTGAAGATCAATCTCCTTCACCACTAGCACTTTTTCTCATTTATCCAACACTATGAGCAATGTAGTCCCATGCCAGGATGAGTTAAGTTAATCAATTTATTTCCGTTTCTGCTGAACAACTACCAACAATATAGGTTCAAATATTTATTCTAACTCTTCTTAATATTAATAGTATAGGTTGTTATGTGTAGTATATTACAGTAAGTGTTTTCTCCCATGGAAACAGTAAGAAACATCCATCCCAAAAACATGAAATCCATTGCATTTTCTGATTTGAAACATAAACTTGGCTTGTAAAATATATGAACCTGTTGTCGCAGTAGATGAAGGCTGAATGCCAATAAAATGTAGTAACATGGATTTACTTCTCTTACTTTTCCTCAAGCTAACTCTGACCCCCTCAGATCCCTCTTGAGTGGCCATGTTTCTCATCTCGCCAAAGATTTCTATGTTGCATAACACAGCACAGGGTTACAGGGTGTTTGAGATAAGACGAGCATAAACCTGATGTTTACCACATCTACCACTACAACTAGTGAATGTAAATGAGACAGTAATGGCTATTTATGTCTGGAAAATGTATTGGTACATAGCTTATCTTAGTTAATGCTTCTCTCTGTATTTCGTCTTATTCTCTAGACTTGGCAGTGACACGTGTGTGTTGTGTTTCAGAAAAAGAAACATGGGTTGATCATGGTGAATCTCCACAACAACTTCATATCCTGCAGCGACGAAGCAAACATCTCTCGTGTCGCTGGTGAGGCATCCGTATTGAGTTTTTTTCTCGTGAGGTGAATCTGTAGTTTGTATTTCTTATATCTCAGCTGATTTACTTTTCCACCTGGGTTTTGCAGACCATTTTGATCACATTAAGAAGGTGATTGGAGCTGAGTCGATAGGAATTGGAGGCGACTTTGAAGGTGCTGTGAGGTAAGAAGTATTCACTTGCTAACACAACATACAGATAGCTAGAAGCACTAAGTTAAGGGACAGTAAATCTACATATATTCCATCCCATGATAGGATGAGTGGTGATCTTCAGACACACAACTTGCAGAGAAAACAAAATAAAACAAAGCTCATACCAGTTGGGTACACACTTGCCTCTGGCACTCTCCAGATCAATGAGAACTGTGCTTTTGTTAGCCTGTCATGATATCAGCAATTTGGCTGTCTGAGCTGTCAACAGGCTGAAAAATGGTAAAAATCAATAACTTTTTACTTCTAACAGGCATAAAGAGAGAGCTGGTAGAGTAGATTTGCTCCAGAATAATAGGCATTGAATGTATCCCCCCCCCCGCATACAGACACAATCTAGTTCAAACAGAAATGTCACAAAACAAACTATATTTACGAGTGTCAATTATTATTATTTCCTCTTCATAATTTATAAGTAATGTACTTCGTCACATGAAAACTCTCAGTATGAGTGGTTTCTTTTGCACGACGGAAATCTGTGACTTGAAATGTGTTTTTCGTTAACAGCTTTCCTCAGGGGTTAGAGGATGTGTCCAAGTATCCCGCCCTAATCCAGGAACTCCTGCAAAGGAACTGGACTGAGATTGAGTTAGCTGATGTCCTTCGAAAGAACTTCCTGCGAGTCTTTGAGGAGGTGGAGAGGGTGAGCTATAAGATTAATATATTTTATGTCAAAGAACAGCCTTCTCTGGTAAATGAAGGGTAGGTAACTAATTGAAAGGCACACTTTCACTCCATTTCTTGGCCACAGGGGTGATTTGGATATAATGAAGGATAAAAGGCTTCATGTTTGGTGGGAAATTACCGCAGTGTGTATTATTACATCAGTGTGCATCACCTCCCTCTCGTCTCGCTGTATTTCCCCCAGGTCCGTGATCAGATGACTTTGAGCCGGCCCAGTGAGGTCCAGATCTCCTTAGAGGAGGTGCAGAACCCATGCAGGCTGGTCCTTAGACGTCCTGTCCCAAGAGGGCCCTCTCATCAGAGTCCCTTCTCCAGAGCCCCACATGAACCAAAAGGTCTGCTAATCCACGCCATAGTTCTGCTGCTTTCCAGTCTACTTATGATAGAATGAATGTTTAGAAACTCTGTTGAGCTACACCTGACCATGCATCATTTTCACTATAAATAAGGAGAGCTTAATGAGATTTCTGTATCAATTTGTGGGCCACCCAAGCACTCGACAGGTCAGTAAAGATAAGGGGAGAATCACTTTCTTCCCATCAATACAAAAAAGCATTTAATGTGTAGCCCCATTTGGTAGGTCATTTAAAAGTCGCCTCTGTATATACAGTATATTAAAATTTACAGAACATCAATCCCAAAGCACTTTACTATCCATTTTGAAATATATTTATTATACATTTAATGTGTTGTACCTGTGCTGACATATCTATGAAAACCTATGACATGAAGGCAAATGATCAATAAAACTGCTGAGATGGCACCTTTAAGTTATTTTGGATTTTGTTTGTGAAGGTTATTTTTTTTTGATGTATTGTTGACCAGTGAGCAGGAAATAGGAAAGAGGCAGCAGTTAACAAACAGATTTTTCTTTTTATTTGATCTTACAGAAAAACCAGATATCATGGAGGTTTAGAAAAACAAAGTGCATTTTAATGTGAACTATTCTGCCCTTTGGCCAAACAGGAAAATGTTGAATATAGAAATAACTAAAACTAAATATTTAACTTGGAACAGCACACAGCAACACTGTGAAGATTTCTCTTGTTCAGATAAAGATTCATGTCTCCCCAACAAAGACGATAGGAATTTGCTTCAGTGCACTCATTTTGATGTTTCAACACAATGTGCCGGGTTTTGACATTAAAACAATGACATCACTCTTCAAAATGATTACTCATGGCTTCACTAAAACATTGCCAACATAAAGTTTCCATGTAAAAATTGGATTGTGCCAAAACCTATTTTGATTTAAGTGAAGGGAAGGCCACACTCTTGGCTACAGATCGTAGAACAGTTGTTCTTGACACAGTATAATATCTTGAAATACTCAGCTTCTTAGACAAATACTTGAAAAGACACAAACAGTGTCTGGAAGTCTCATGTAGCTGAGGTCATAATTGCTTAAAGCTGAAATTCCTTAAGATTGCAGCCATGGTTGATTTGGCCTCAACGATGGTGCAGTAAACACTGCTTGAGCAGCTACTTTTTCAGAATTACAACACAATACCAACTGGTGTATTTCTTTACAGCACAAACAAACAAACTAACATTGTAGGAATGTGAAGTAAGCCAATTTAAATCCTGTGCGGGAATGGCAGACTCCGCCACTAATGATAAAAACTACCATGTAGAATGGTATTTGCAATTGCCATTAAGTGTAAAAATATCAAATGTCTATTGCAGAAGAAATGCAGACCATGATTTTATTGAAATCCTAAGGACTATAACTTTAAATAAAGCCATCTTTTTTGTGTGCAGATAAGCTTTTCAGGTCTGTAGAAAAAGTACAAATGTAACGGTTCAAAAGTCATTCATATACACTTTTCTCTCATATAAACAGCAAACATATCTGTCAAAAAAATCATAAATTATAACTCTTTTTAAAAACTTACTTCATGATCTCTGGCATGCCACCTTTACAGCACAACCAACGTCAAGCACTGTGTTCATTATCATCAGTAACATTTTCTTTACCTCAGTGGGGAAATGTTGAAATAAATAAATAAATAAAGATGTGCTCCCAGAATAATCAAAGAGCTGTTTCAGAATAAAAATCTGGCACACTATCAAAACTCTTCACCCAACATGTGTACTAGTCTGCCAGTCTGTCAAATATAGGTTTATTATCACATATAAGAGGTATTTGTGACCTATAAATAAATCTAAAGTTTGTGTTTGACACACAAGTATTGATTTATGAGGGAGAAAAATAACGGATTTCATTTGTAAAAATGGCAGAGTTGCAAACATATAGGTGGATATGTACCCTAGTGTGTGCCAATATTCTACAAGAACAGAAAAAAAGTTTTGTACTGAAAAATACATACTTCACAATCAAAGTGACATCCATGCGTCTAACCAGCGGGTTCTGCCTCCTTTCTAGAGGTGGAATGTATTCTGATGAGGCAGACGCTCCTGTGTAGCAGCTAATAATTGATCATGAGTAGATGGTGATAACCTCCCGACCTCCACCTCGGACCAGCAGCACTCTTTCCAAACCTTCAGTCAACACCTCCAGAAACTCCATATCTGGAATACACGTTAAGTAAAAACAGCCAAACAATAGCCTACATACTTGGTGTGTGTACTGCAGCCCAAAATCGTCTATACAATTATGAAAGACACCTTTTTGTTTGATCATATTGGTAAAGGATACAGTTTTCATCTCCATCCGTGTTTCGCGGTGGCCCTGGCATGTTGAGCAGCACTAATCGAGCATCATGGGACCTATTGACTATTACCTCGTTCAGCTTCACAGCCGTATGCATTCGCCGCACATTGGACTGATCCCTAGAATGCAGCAAGGAGGAGAGACAGAGGAAAAAGGATTTGTGCTCATAAACTTATTTTACTTTTTACAATTTTTAAAGCAAGCGCTGACTGTGAGAGAAACCAAAAGGGAACAATAAGGTACAAGCATTAAATGCATTAAATGCTACAGGTGTTATTGGTTAAATAAGAGGCGGTAAAGAAGATGCTGAGGTTAACTGAATGCAACTCACGGTTTGAGGCTCATAAGTTCTCTGAAGTTCTCAGGTGCATTGTTTCTGTTCCTCCTCTCAGCCTCACACTTCTCTCTTGTCCAAGTCATCTGCACCTTCTCTGGCGGAGCCTCCACCACTTCCTCCTCCTCGTCTGAGTATAGACTTCCCATACGCACCAAAGAGTGTCTGTCCTTAACCAGCTGGGCCTGCAAGTGCCATTGGGAATATCATGAGGCTTTGATTTCAATATACTGTATGTAAATAAAACCTTTACTCATAGCAATAAATAGAGTTAAGTTAGAGCAGTTTAAATTCCCAAATTGTACCGGACCACCAGTAGTGAAGATTCTAAAGCAACAAAACAGCAGTCTCTCAATGATTTATCATGCATTATATGTTATGAATAATTTTTTATTTGTAAAATATTTTAAGAATAAATATTACACACACAAAGAAAACATACCTCTCTTTGTCTTTCTGCACTGGACAGCCTCATTTGCCTCAACATCTGGGACCGCTGCTCCATCATTAACGTTCTCTCGTAGGTGTATGCTGAGATGTCACTGTCATGCTAAAGTAGCATTTGAAAAAACAATGTTGTGGTTAATCCAATTTAAATATACTGTATGTCTCTGTTGAACATAGACGGAGTGACAGTGAAATTAGAGTAACTAAGCCAAGCAATTTTCTGTGAAACAATCCTGTCTGCGGCATCTTGTAATAATGGACATCTGGTTTTATTACTGAGTTCAATGTGTTCTGGCTCTAGCCATAAAAACTCTATAGAAGTCTTCACTTTTGCTCAGATTAGTAGTAGTGTGTGAGTGATCCTCACCATCTCCACCACCTCCACCTCAGCCTCTATTCTCAGCTGGTACAGGAACATGGCCAGATCTTTCTTCATCTGGATGCTGTTGTCATCCATCTGGGCTACAGTGAAGATACGCATTTTGCATTTCCTCCAAACCTATGCAAATAGACAAATATAACTATAGTGTAATACCATGTGCTATACACATCAAATGTGACTATAATTGCTTTCAGAAAACACACGTCAAGTCCCAAATAACATCAAACTAAATCTAACAAAGACTAGTCAAGGACAGCGTGTAAGTTTAGAAGGATTACAGTGACACAGTTTTTGTTGTATTTGCAACATGTAAAGTAGAATATTGGACTCTGTCTCACTTTATGAAGTTTGAGCAGAAAAGGCAGCAGCATTAGCATCCCCCCATCATGGACGATCCACCAAACGTCAATGTTGCCATCTGTGAAGCGTTCATGGTTGCTCGGGTAGAAGGACACATTTTTGGGCACCATCAGGGCCAGGTGGGCAGCTGTGGTGCAGCGAACTGTGTCTGAGTAGAGATGAAAACATGGAGGCACGGATATTAACTGTACTGTATAAATTAAATTTGCAACAGCTTACATTCTGTACAAGCCAAACGGAAACTAACACAAAATGTATTCCAAATAGGATATTCAAATGAGCTTTTTCAAGGCCACAATTGCTCTATCTTCAAATTCATAATAGGGAGCTGAGTGTTAAGTGCATTTAAGTGTGACAACTAAATACTTATGCCTGAAAACATTATGCAATTTGGGTTGGCAGTCAATTAATAGGGGTGCTATACTGCAGATTCTGTCCCTTTTAAGTGTCCTATTGTATCAACAGTATTTCAGTGAGACTCTTACTGATAAAAGTCTTCCAGGCACGAGGGTCCTCGCTCTGTCTCCAGCCGTACGGCCAGCCCAGCACCACAGTGTTGTGCTTCATGCCCCCCAGACCACAGGACTGGATCAGGTGGACAATACCCTCCCGCACCTTAGACGCCACCACGACCTGGCAGAAACCTTTGACTCGCTCAATCTCCATCATATGCTTAATGGCCTGGCAGAAAAAATGTAAAAAAAAACGAAGCTTCAGGCTATGATCACAATAAGGAGTAAGCAGATGAACCATGTTTAAACAATACTAAATGCTTTAAAAGAAAAGATGTATACAGCAAAACCACTGAATAAGGTTTTACCTTCACTACCTCCCTCTGTAGCTCTAATCATAATTATTGATACATAATGCATAAGTATTGTCTTAGCACTAAGTGAATCGAGAATGAGGGATTAATTTCTCCAGTTGTTGTCACATAAAAAAGGGCATTTCTCTACCAAACACATCACATTATGGAAAATGTTCCCGCAACAGTCCCTTATTTTATCCGAAATGGCTCATTGGCCCCATATTGTAGTGACAACAACAAGCTGTTTCCAGCCATGCCCTTTGATTAAAGTGACAAATGCTTCAAAAACAGTTGCTGAGGAAGAAACGTCACAAAAATTGAAAATTCACAATGAAGCATGTTTTTCGCTTCATTGTGCTTTTCACATCACAAAAGGTGGTCATTTGTAACAATTAGTTGTGACGCAGTCAGCAACAGAGTACAATAGAGAATTGTATAGAGCATGTTCAGCACACCCCTTTCTAGTATTTACCTGCTCAGCTGCCTGCATTTCCCCATAGCTGTCCAGGAAGTTGCCCTGGATGACAGAGCCCACAATGGTCAGACCCTTCCCTGCCTTCAGCTGCGAGGCAAAGGTGAGCAGCCGAGGATATTTTACGTGGAGGTCCTCATCGAGCTTCAACAGCACAAGCAGCTGAGGTCTGTAGTGGACAGATTCAAAGATCGGATCAAAGGTGTGTCTTTGCACGTTACCAAAGTATTTAGAACAATGCATATTGTTTTGCTGTATAGAAAGCACAGACATTAGAGGATGCAAGTGTTCATCTATCAAAACAAGATTTACTGAATGATCATTGGCAGTAGGTTGATAAAATTGGACTTTTCAAGTGCCAGTGTCAGCAGCTAGTCTGTGATTTGCATGTCAAAACACATCGACACGTATAGCTTAAAACAGGGATGTTAAGCCATCAAGGGCACATATAACTGTTAAACTGTGAATAAGGTAAATGTATAAATGTGACCTAAACATATAAAATAACTATTGTCTCTTCTCTGCCAAATTTATCTCAGTCATAACCTAGACATCTTCTGACCTCTGAATCACCCAGTCAGTGCTTACTGGACTACCTTCTTTACATTTTATTGACATACTGCCGTCATTCCATTCTTCGTTCCACATTCAAAACTTTCAAGATTAGCCGTGTTTAGTCACTGTCATCACATTTAGACTGAGAGGCAAAAGAGGTAGTGCAGCATCAGAGTGGTTATACATTACATCAAAAGATGTGACGCTGACGTAGTGGAAATGCCCAGCAAGCAAGCTAGAAATATAAAAAATTAAACCCTTCCTACAGCCACAACTTCCCAAAACTGTACACAAATACATGACATTTACTCATTGTGTGTCAGTATGGATTACAGCTGGTAGTAAATCTATCATATGTTGATTATTTTGTGTGGCATTATCATCATTCTCCAGGGACATTTTTATAGAGGGTAGATAACCTATTTTTTATATTCCACAGATTGTGGCTCCTTTGGATTGTGCAATCCAAAGGAGTTTATGTGGATACATTCAGAGAGTCTCTTCCAGGTGTATCTGTACCTCCAGTTCTTGGTGTGTGGGGGTCCAACCTCTAGCCTTAACAGGGAGTAACGTGCAGCACTAAGGGACAGTCCTCGTATTCCGTCCCCCCACTCCTTCTCTGCTCTGTTGTTGTTTTGTGAGTGGGAGAGACAAAACACAAACATAAGGGACGACAAACAATGTAAGTGGGCGGCTGTCCGCCAGCATCCATTACAGATATGTCAGACAGAAACACAGAGACACAGCCAAAGACAAATATACAAATGCTAATTAGACAGGAGACATACCCTTGGTACTCAATGTATTTGTAGATCATCCCAGCAATTACCATGGCCACAATAGCATAGTACCAGGAGGAGATGAACATCAGAGCCAGACACATACTCATGCCGAGGAAGGACAGAGCCCTGTGGTTGTGACACATAAAGCCGGAAGAGATGTTTTAGCATAACAAGAACAGCATTATTATTTACAAGTATGACAGCCTGGACAATCTGACTGGTGAAAAGGAAGTGTGCTCCCACCCTTGTAAGAAATGTACTCACCAGTGGTAATATTTAAACCTTGGCCTCCAGTTCGGTGTGCGTAAAAGAGTCTGAACTGCACAGGCTAGGTTCACAAAGAGATAGCACATCAAGAAGAACCTGTTGAATAAACACAAGGAGAATTTCCAACATATTTGAAGTAGATAATACATCTTCAGTGGTGTAGTTGGCCTCAAGCTAACTCAGAAATGATGAAATGCATGTACCCAATGTTTGACTGAAATAAATGTATGGGGTGTGTGCATTTTATACTTGGCACATGTCATATTTTTGGCATGTGTATGTATGTGAGCTTACATGGAAAGGATGGGAGCCACCATATCCAGTGAGGCAATAAGGATGCCCAGCTCAGCTATGAGACCAGTCAGTAGTAGGGCCCATGTAGGCTCTCCATTGGTCTTGCCGTGACCAAACACCTGAAACAAATACATTCAAAACCCTTTATAGGAAGCAATGCAAATCACTTCATGTTTGGTACTGCATCATATTCAAATAAGCCTGCAAGTCAAATATTAGCAAACATTTCCAACTCAACATTGAATGTGATTCAGAGGTTATCCTGAATATACAACTTTTGGAAGTAATAACAAACAGACTATGGATTAACATGTCGTCTCTGACTGTATGTCAGTCAAGTCTGTGGGAGCCATTTCTGTCTTGCAACGACAATGAAAAGTTTATCATCAACAGTGTGTACTGTCTCACCCTGAGAAAAGGTATGATGTTGTCCTTGGCAATAGCCTGAAGAAGTCGGGGAGCCCCAGTGAGGGACTGAAGGCCCGCCCCAACAGTAGAGAAGAAGGAGCCAATGACAATAACCCACGGAGACGGCCAGGAGAGCGTCCCCACCACCAGGTTTTTTCTAACTGCGTCTCCAAACCTACAAGTACATGAATACTGAATATGAAAAAGAATACGTCTTGACTTTGATAATGAAGTTATCTTTATTTTGCATTGTTTATTTTTACCCAACCAGAAGTGTTTTGATAAAAGTGCGAACATGCAGTAGGACACAGGTGAACTTACTTATCCCTAAGGACTACTCCTTCAATACAAGACCCAAACAGGACCACAGAACTGAAATCTGAATACAAGAGGTCAAGGAGCTTAAGGTGACACAACGATGTACATCAAATCTGCAAAGATTGTTAGTTTTATTGTGGGTAGCCACCAAAATAAGGATACAAACGAGTGAAGTAGTAGTAATAGCTAAGATAGTTCCCACAGGGATGGACTTTTGAGCGTCACGGAGATCCCCAGACCTGTTGGAGCCTGCCATGATACCTTCAAGGCAAAATAGACAGTTGATAAAAATAGAAGACATGTAAAAGCTGTTTAACTATGCCCCCTGCTGGTTGGATTAGAGGAAGGTTTAAATCTTTACTTTTTCACTGTGTGCAAGTTACTTTTGTAAAAAATGTATATAATATAACATAGCAGGTGGCTTAAGTTCCAATTTGCAATTCATGGCTTGAGATTGCACCAAAAATCATTTACGTTTGTTGTCACAATCATAATTTGATACATGACTTAAGATATAGGGTAAACAAGTTTGGAAATAATCATTTTGCACTTTCATGCAGACAATAGATTTACCTGTGGCAGATGGGAAGAAGATCCCCACAAGGAGTGTGAATGATGTAGCGATGTCGGCTGACACATACATGCCAAAGTTCTCCATGGCACCGTGGGCATCCACTGACTGTAGCCCCGCTTTCTCTAAGATCTCCCCTTTTTGTTGGTAGTCGCCCCACATGTTCTCTAACAACAGAGAACTGACATTGAAAACATTGGCAACAAACGTATTAGAAGAGACTATAATTCTAACAGGCCTGTGTGTTATTCACTGATGCAATAAATTTCTAAATTTAGGGATATCATTTTGGAAAAACATCATACATTTTCAAGATAATAATTGTTGAATCTTAAAATTCCTAAAAATTATAGCATAATGTGAAAAATGCAAATTGTTCTTGCTGGGTTTGCTAACACTGTTTCCTACCCCTTTAGCGCTATGTATATAGTAATGATATACTGTATATACTTGGAACATTATGAGTTGTTAACTTTTATTATAAAACAAAATCTCATAGTGTGTATTTTAACCCCTCTGCAATTTATGATAAGTTTACCTCTAATGATCCCACTGCTCAGTCCAGGGATGCCCGGAATCTCTGTCACATTGTTCTGAATGAAGTAGTCATCACACTGAATGCTGCTCATGTTCCCCAGCAGACAGAACCTTTCCCACAGCTGACTGGGCACTGTGATGTTGCCCTTTATCACAGTCTTAGCACATACATCGAAGCGATCTCTCACCAACGTCCTGTTTCCCAGCATGCAGATCCTACAGCAATAACATGGACACAATTAAAATCATGACTATGTCAGCCATCTTTATTTCCACCACCAACATAATGGTGGACAGAATCATGACAACACAGGAAAAAACTATGATGAACAACATATTAAAAAAAATGAAAAAAATAAATATATATATATATAGACAAGACAACATAACAGTAATAAGAAGAGTGAAATCTGCATTATTTCTAAATTTAAAAAAAAAGGGCTCTCTCCCCCATAAGAACTAAATCCGTATTATTGTGCCCATAATTCACACTACTTTCTGTTAACCCTTAAGGCACATGTTTAAGGCACATGTTTATTCTTCAGACTTACGGGAACTCTGGGGGATGAGTCATGGATTTGAATGCCCCAGCATAGATGGAGACAATTGAGATAATGACGCAGGCCAGGAAAAGAGAGGCCAGCTTGTTGACATATTTGACTCCTACAAAAACCACCACAGCCATCAGGCTGAGGCAGATAGAGCCGTAGACTCGCATATTATTCAGCATGGCACTGTCACCCCCAAGAGTGTCTGTGGCGTGAAATATGGCCGCCTGGGGGACCAGATATTTCTGAGGAGAAAATAATTTTACAACAGGACCATTACTGCCATATACAGTGCAGTTAAAACTCATGTAATAGCTAACATATTTTAATAAAGAACAGCATTTAGGAAGTATATCTAGTCATACAAATGTGAGCTGGAATAAAACCTCAGAATAATATTTTAGCAAACTGACCAAGAAGATTTCGATGGCCCCCAGTATGTACATGGCAGAAGCAAAGGTAGTGCCCAAGTAAAAGCACAGCCCCACAGCTCCTCCAAACTCAGGGCCAAGGGAGCGGGAGATCATGAAGTATGCCCCTCCAGCTACAACAGTACAACAAAGTGTTACACACAGAAAGCCACTGAAAACTACATGCAGCCATGTACTACATGCAGTGGGACACAACAGTACATTTCTGCTGCCCTCAAGTGGAAGAAAATGTAATGAAAAATGTAACTTCTGCATCTACTTGGAGAGATTCAGAGCAGTCCGGAAAAATCAATTCTGAGCAAGTAATTCTTTGAAAACCAGTTTATGTCCCAATAATGAAAATTCAGTAATAAAATATTTTACAAAATCTTTTAAAAAAAGAAATAAAATAGAAAATAAAAAAGTCTACAAAAGTATCTATAATACTTACAGAGAATATCTGCTGGATAAATGAACAGTATGCTGAGGGAGTTATTAAGTGAATATAATGGAGTGTGAGGGATTTAAAGTATTACCTGGAACAACACCATTAGTAGCAATGGCACTCATTGATATGGCTGTGAGCATTGTCTGTAAAGGAAAGGAGAAAATATGGTTAAGATGGGAAAGGACACATGTGTGGGCGCTACCTTAATTAACATGGATCATCTTGAGTAACATGATTTCTGGAAAAAGATATTGCTGTTGACTTTTTCAAATACATTGGTGCTTTGAGCACCACAAGCCAAGTTCCACATCTCCAAAACCAGGCAACTGAGACCAAAACAATCTAGATTGATAATTAGCAGGGCAGGTAAGAGGAAACATATGCAATATTTTTGATTTTCTGATGACTGGTTCCTTTAAATAATTTCTGCTGCTAATACAACCGTGTGGATTCTATTGCTTGGTTTAGTGACAAAAGCTGGCTCCCATTGTTGGCAGAATAAACACAGCGAAGTAGTGTGTGTCTATGTGCAGTACAGTACAGTTTGTTTGTGTGTATGTTTACAGTACAGCAGTACGGTACGTGTCTGTGCTCATACTAACACAGGAGCAGCACATGAGGACAATCAGGAGGGACTGCATGATGCCAGCCATCCCAACAATCCACGGCAGTCGGAGGAAAAGAATGACACCAAAGATGTTCTGCAGACACGGCAAGTAGACTCCCATCAGAGTGCCCATGTTGGGAGACTGATAGAAAGAAGGAAGGAGAGAAGGAGAGGGGCATTAGAGAGAGAGAGAGAGAGAGAGAGAGAGAGAGAGAGGAGAATATTGACCATGACATTGCAGGAAACACATGTATTGATCATTTGTATTGATTTGTGTTCATTTCTTTTAAAGGTCATTCCATCATGTTATCGGCTCTTTGCACGTATACAGGTCTTACACAGCCACAGTCGCACGGCAGAGCTCGCAAAGGCATTAGCAATCAATCAACAGCTCTTAATACAGAACTAGAACTTGGATAGCGAGGCAGAGAGAGAGAGAGCCAGAGATGGAGGATAATATTTCTAAACTTCCAAAGACTGAGTGTACAAGTAATTAAAAATAAACAGCGAGGCATAGTGTTCCTCTGCTGTGCCCCGACTCCTGACCTTGGGGGTCTTCCTACGTGAGGCCTCAGTGCTCTCCGCCTCCTCATGCTCCTTGGCTCCCTGGGTGATGTTGGTGTAGCTGACCAAGCGGCTGAGCAGAGAGGAAACCTTCGGCCGGATGTCCAGCTCTTCCTGGAGGAAGAAAGTGTGGGGGGGGGGAGAGGTTAAATGAATGAGTTTGGTACAAGTCTATCGTCTGACAGAAATATTGGGAAATAAAAATAACGGACCTCAAACAAAGCCAAGTTCCTGTCATAGAAGTCATTCTTCTTGCAAGTAGCATCAGCACTGTTGAGAAATGGACTGTCTTCTTTATGATTCCCATGTCCTAGTAGAGAGAGGATAAATGACTTAAGGTTAACAATAAAAACAAAGTTGCTTTTTGGCCAAGCAACAATTTGAGCTATGGGGTCAATCAAATATTCTCCTGTCAATACATCAGGCAAACATTGTTCTTAAAGATATATTGGAGGCACGCTGGTAACATAAACTGCAACATCAAGTCAATGTGCTTTACTGACGGAGACATGATTGATATGAAAGTTTGTAAAACCTGCAATAATTCACCACCCTGTCTTAAGACGATGCTTATTTACTGTAAAAACCAGACTCGGTATAAAATCTCTAATGTAACAAGACACACAATTAGGTGACATCAATCCTCACTTACATTTTTAAAGATCAGAAATACATGTCATATTTTTTTAGAATTAAAAATGGATGCTTTTCAGCTTAATTGTGTCACTCTTAGTTGACATCAAATATTAATTTAATTAACTATGGACCTGCTATTATTGACTAAAAGTATCACAATTACATCTACAATGTGGTACTTGCTGAAAAAAGATAGGTGGCATTAAATTATAAGTTTTATATGCAAGGTGTCAATAGAGATTAACAGTCATTGATGGATAAACAATAAACATTTAATTAATGTCACCAATTAAAAAATATAAATAGCAGCCCAATGCCATTGCCTATGTAATTGATACAAACATATACCAATTTCAAACATTTTCCATGGCAATTTGTTTTCAATATTCAGTCAGCTTTTAACTGTCACTATAAATTATAATTAGAACATCTTAATAATCCCCATGTAGCAGTAAACTTCAGGAATACAGCTCCTGCAGTGAAGCTGCAGTGAAGGGCCAAAAGCAGCACAGACCGACAAGGAGAAGTCCAGGTGATAAACAGGCATATAATTTGATTTTACTCTCATTAACTTTTGAAGAAAAGAATCAAGCAGAGATGAGCACAGTGCCTTGGGCAATTATTGCACGCAAAGTAGCACACACACACAAACACACACACACATACACACACCTCATTACCTCAAAATGACCTAACCTTGGGTTATTAGAGCATGTAAACTTTAACGACGGCATCTCAAAGCCAAAATTAATCCTGCAACAAAAAGTCTGCCAATTTAACCAAGAGGGCATGAAATAGAAAAATATCCTCAACAACATTGAAAATATACCAGCCTTGTTGTAAGTGAGTTGGTTGAGCTTCAGTGCTGGTCCTCACTCACCTGTGTTCTGTGTCCCACTGCCTTCACTCTGGGTAAGCATAGTTATGAGCTGTGTGCGGACTGCCACAGAGTACTCTATGCTCTGGCTTGGGGAATCGTCGATTACTATCCAGGACACTAGGTTGCCTGGGGTGAATACTCATTCAGGGGCCTGATTTAACACATGGTGCACGGTGAGGGGGGTGAGAGGTGGGGAGTGGAAGATACGGTGGTAACTCTCTGACTAACAAGCTCAAGCACACACACGCACACCACATGCATGCTCATAGGGATATAAGAACCATGGGTTGGGTTGAAGGTATCCCAAGAAAAGTGCAGTACAACAGTATCTGTATTCCTAAATTGTACTGATGTTCAGTGTGGAAAAATCTTGGGGTATCATCAGACCAAGCCATTATTCCAAGAATATAGCAATAAGCAAAACAATAACTTGAATGTGATGTTAAGAGACAAGACGTGATGTAAATGTTCTCAATTAAAGCAAGGTTTGTTTAAGGTTTTTTACAATAAATAATTAAAATGATGAAGGCACTTGCAAATGACAAGGTAGTACAAAATGTAAACCATACTTTGGTGCAAAAACCTTGCAAGAATCTGTAAAAAAAAAAAAAAAGAGATAATTTAAGGCATGAAAGCCAAATTCCCATGGGTCTGTCTTTACAGATCCCTAACAGCACAGAAGGATGGGAGTTATGCCTGGAAAGAGATAGATATAAAACTAATGCCAACACTGTCCTCTAGTGTCATCTCGCTGTCAGTGGTATGGTATAAAAACATAATGTGTTTGAAGCAGCAATGAAGGGAGACTACTGTAGATGAGATAGAGGCACTGAGTAACTTAAAGAGACATCTGACATTTTTGGAGCAGTGCAGATTAATGTTGCTCCATAGAATTACATCCGTTCAAAAATTTCCTGGCAGGCGCTGTACTCAGTCGGTGTTGCTCCAAGGACTATATCCTAATGTTAAAACCAAAAATAGTTCAGCTTCCGGCTCATTCCATTTATTAGACCAGCAAAATAAAAGACACTTTAACAATGAGGAAACAGTGGGGGTCTCTTGTTAATAACCTCACATTAAATGTCTAATTAAAAGGATTAAAGATTAACTGGCTTGTTATGAAGGCACATAAGAGTCTTGCTGTGTGCCCAGAACAGCACAGAGGCTTTGCAGCAGCATGTACCGACAGGTCACCTGTGACCCCACCAAAACAGCTCCACCGCCAGACGATCAAAGACTGGTACATTGACAGAAGGCTATATCAAGGTAGAGAAGTTAAGCAAGGGTGTACATGACTTGTACTTTCCACTGATGAACTATCTAGAGACACACTACTGTATCATTTTACTATTCGGTTATTGAAAGGATTTGTTCTGTCGAGGTTTCTTATCAAGAAGTATAAAGTGTTGGTGTTGGGGTAAACTTGTACTTACAACTTTATCAGAAATAAGTAAGACAAAAACACACACTATCATAAGCCATGATTACATGTTATATTTGAGCTCTTATATTGCACCACAATTCCAAAGCAAATGTTTAGACAGACTGCCTATGTTTCAGGGAATGCTGGGTATGATTTGCTGTGTGTTTACAACTAGATCAATTCCCTGAGAAGATACTACGTTGTCAAGTGTTTTCAAAGTGCAAAGTACATGACTTGAACAACAAAAACAATGTCTCAGGCAACTCTACATCGACAACATCAATATTACTTGTTATAGATCCAAAAAACAACTTACAAACCTTCCTGCAAAACTTCTTCAAGACATTTTTTGGCAAGCAGGGCATTAGTTTACTTTATCAGGACTGCACAGTGTACTTAGGTGGGATATTTGGAGTATTCAAGAGGTTTCACTTTTATATTTCAAATGGACTTTTCAAAGGCACTAATGTTACAGGCAGAAGGAAACTTAACAGCAATGTGTCTGCCCTTTTTTCTAAAGCTGATTAGTCATGGAAAACAATATCCCTGTCCATCAGCTTCTTAGGATTTGAAAAAGCTTCTTTGCTAAATTTCCCCTTCAATAAACACTTAGGACTTAACACCGAGAGGCAAAGAAGTAGTAAAGCTTAGCTAACTCTGCTTTGTGCAGTTAGTTGGCAATAATGTTCTCCTGATTATGTGTTTGGAAGTGGAGTGTGTGTGTTTGGCTAAGTGTGTGTGTAAAATAGAGAGAGATAGTAAAGGACACATGTGCATATTTGCTCCTTTCTTCATTTCATTTACTCCCTCTGCTTTTGTAAGCTGCATGCCGTCAAAGCATAGACGTGATCATGCCCCTGGGTTAGGCAAACATAATACAACTGTTGGCAGCAGGTCAAATGGTTAAAGGGTAAACTTATTCCCTACTGCTCGCTATATCCTGCTCATTGTTTATGTTTCTGGGCCTGTAAAATTATCCTCCAAACACTCTGAGCCACTCTGACCCTTTTACTGTCTGAACTCTACCAGCTTTGCTTTTACCAACCAGTTGCGTAATGGCAAAATAATGAATTAGCAACCGATCGTCAGACTGAACTAAAACTTTGACATTACTTTTTTGGAATATTTCTTTGTGGAAAATAGCCCAGCTCTACCCGAATGACTTGAAACCTCATTTCCATTATAAGCAGCAGTGGATGTCCAAAATCGGACAAAAGCACAGCCCAGTTGGGTCATTATGTTTGCATTTGTACAGAGCTAAGCCAACTGACATTATGTTAGTTAGAGTATGGTGCACCCCTGTGGAAGCAGGATACCACAATGTTAGGCATGGTATTAGTCAAAATTGCAAGTAATATTTAACTGGGTTATGGCGGGTGCACCTGTCTTCCCACTTTGATGCAAGGGCAAGTCAATAAAAATGACATATTTGAGTAAGTGCAGATGTTCATGAAAATGTTTGGCTCAAACTAATGGCTAGTTAATTAATAAACTGCCTGGGGACGCAGACCGTGGCGATCCTAAAATCATTCCAGTGCACTGATTGACAGCTCCCTTACTCTCCCACAATGCATTGTAAAATCCAATCGAAATCCAATAAAATGAAGTAAGTCACTCACAAATGTAGTTATTTACATGTTTTGGTACATAAATATAGTTTCCCTGTACCCCCTTTGAATTGTATAGCCTTACACCGTATATTTCAGCATATGTTATGTTTTTTTCTCCTCGAGCCCATGGCAAGTAGCAATGTAATTCGGCTTTAGCAATAGGCCAATGTTAGCGGTAGTAGCTGTGCTCCATTCGGAGCAGCATCTGAACAGAGCATTGGAATGCTAACCTGCTGAGCCGTACAGCAAAACATATCAGCTTTGATGTGTGCTAATGATGAGAAAAGGACAGCAGCTCAGCCTGATTACCTCAGGGGGTAAAGGTGGGCGGGAAGAGGTGCATCGTACAACAGACTTTCAAAAAGACACAAATTAACTAAATGGGTACGTCAATGGGTGTAGAACTAATGACTAAACAAACCCAAAGCGTGGTCTGTACGGGAGAATTGTCTATCCCCAGTGTCTTCGCAAAATGGCTTCACTTAAGGATGCCTAAGCTGTGCATTTGCTGCACACACAACCCACACTCATAAATGGTTGCTTTGTGTGAATGTTACATGTACAGATCATAGTCTGTAGAGTTGATGGTACAGATGAACACTCACTGCCTTGTTTATCTACACACAATTCCCCGTTAATATCATGAACAGCACATTACTGTGGAGGTAGGAAACACAATGTTAACTGTTCAACTTCAGTAATTGATCAAGTTGTACCCGGTCATGTCCAGAGGAGGTTGTATATGTATCTGATGTATTGCAGTCTGACTGACAGCTCTTTCCTTGTAAACAAAAGAAGGGAAAGTGAACAAGAAGATACCTTCAGCAATAGCCTAATTAAGAGGTCAAGAAGTATATGCAGGTGTTATTATACATCTTCAGAAATCCCACTCCAAAATCAAGTATGAGGGCCTTTAAGACACTTTCAATTATCAGGTTTTGGGAGCCACTGGTTTCATTGTAGCATATGAAAACATTTCTGTATTACAATGTCCAAAAAGGACTGTTGCAACGTTCATATTTCATTGTACTTCTACATTTATGTCTAAAAATAATTCTCAGGAAGGACAGAACATCATACATTTAATGTAAAGCCTTTTGGAAAGGCAATACACTAGCACCCTGTTGCTGCTTTGCTGGAAGTTACTTCTCCTATTATGATTTCCTGATCAGTGATACTAACAACCCTGTTTCTGCCTGAAGAGTTTGGACAAACACACAAGCCTGCTACATTTGAATTTTCTAGAATTTGTCTGCAATCACGAGGGCAATATTTTCATGTTTCATGCTCTTATCTTGTAAGCAGTTCTGTCCAAACACTTCTAATGTATTACAATCTGAGCATGCTACAGCGGTGACAATTCCCAAGTTTCACATTCATCACATACCAGTGAAAATCCTGGGCAGTACAGTTTGTATTTTTGCACTGATCTCTGTTCAGTGTCAAAAGGGAGGCAGTGAAGGAGAGCTTGGTAAACCCAGGAAAAACTGAATGGATTTGAATGCATCCTCAACAATACCTGGAGGTACACATTGGAAGAAACAACATCTGAGCTGCCCTGCTTGCCCGGCTGTCACTTTGATGTGAATGAACAGATCGAGCAAAGATGGCAGATAATTGGATGGCAAGACAGTTGCATCATAGGAAATGATGTGTCACAAATAATTTAGTTGAACAATATCTTCTCTATCAGTTATTAGGGTATCACAGTATCACAAATAATCAAATTTACTGTAGAGTTGTTAAGGGTTGTAAAGTGTTTGTGTGCCTGTCTGAATTTGTTCTAACTCTGTCATCAGCCCCCCCCCTCTCTCAAGGGTTATCTGACCGGCACACCAGACAACGTGACAGGAATGGTCATCCTGTTCTCCTGAGAGATGAGCAGGAACAGACAGCAGTGTTCTCCAAATAATCTCCTCATTACACAAGTTTCTCAGCACCTGTTTAGTTGAGGCCAATACAAGCAAAATACATATTTGCATGACATGGTTATATTATTTACCCAGAAATACCTGCACATACCTGGCACTAATCAAAATGTTTACAATGGATGAAATGAAAAAAATTGTAGTTTTCTAAATTGAATTTCATTGATGGGTCATTTATTACATCAACAGTCATATTTCCTGCACATTGGCTTCATTCAGTTCATGAAATATTATTTGTTGCCTTGTTTCACGTAGACTGATACACGTGGGATCTCCACTTGCTGCGCCAAAGGACACAGGTAGTAGTTAAGAAGCCCACTTTTCCTCCTAGATTTCCGAGGCTATCAATCGTTTGGAACGATGGCATAAAGGTTGTGATGAATTTAAAAACTGAGAAATGCAGGCTCAGAGACGGAAGATGAACAAGAAAACATTCTAAGGTACTTGCCACATATTTCCACAAATGTCCCTTTCTTTCAGTTCACATCTGACTTTCACAAACAAGAAATTGAACAAACAAGATTATAACCAGCTATTGGTAGCATAATACACAAATTATGTTCCAAACAAACAAGCAATTATGTAGCAGTAACAAAGTCTCAGCAAACCAACTTTCCTCCCTGAAATGTGACTATATTAGGGTAGTTTCTCTTGCTCAGGAGTACAGCACAGTTACAATGACCACAGTGTTGATCCTGTTCATCGGCTGAAACAGACTGTGCACTGTGTCACTTCCTCCATGCTGCAGACGTCACTCTGTATAGCTGAGACATCCAACATGAACCATTCCCAAGCCCACCACTCCCATTTTGGATGGTTTTACCACAGCAAATACTTTCCCACCCAAATTTTTACTGCTTGAATATGTCATAATGCTGCATGTAAAACTCAAGTTGGAAAAGTATTGAATATGTACATAACTAAAATGTAAAAAGTATACATCAAAAGTATGCCGTACATGTTCCATACTTCTTTCTGCACTTGTCACTCTCTCCTAAACAAAACCTCTACTTTTCTTTGAATTTACGCTAAATAATAATTATGATATGATACTTAAATAACTCTTAGAATAACACAGTAAAGATGCTACAACAATCCACTACACATTGACTTGAGGAGCGGCTACTGTTGAGTTCCAACATGTGTTTGAAACTTAATGGTAACGTACTGTGTGCCCTTTGCTCCGTCTCATTATTCATCACAGTCACACTTCCTTCATCTTCTTCTCCTCCTTCTCACCCTTTCCTGCATAAAGTCATCCACGCAGCTATTAATGGTGGTTGTTGTTCTCAGGCATCAGGAAGCTCTCTTCGGCTGGGTAACAGAGAATTATGACAGCAGGAAGGCAAGGGAGGGAGCAACAAGCTTGTGTGAAACTCTGAGGGTTATATCAGGACAACTGCGTTCCCTCTATCATCAAAACCTAGAACAGAGTTCTACTTAGACAGCATTCAAGCCACTACTTGTTAACACTTAAATCACTGTTTTGTACAGTTTCTTATTAACTTGCATATCTGGTGTTTTAAAATTGTCATTTGGCTCTAAAGGGTAACTTCCATGCATTCCAGAAGTATACAAGCAGAGTGCTAGGTCAACATGTGCTTTGATTCCTTCTTCTTGTGCTTCAAATTTCAGTCTACTTGAGCCCTGTCTCTCACTGAAACATAGATCATCTCATCTGCGTGGCCAGTTTGCCTGCAAATGTATACATACGCACTCACACATTGATGAAAACACAGAAATGCATCCCATGACTATACACACACACTGGTTGTTCACTCACTGGAGGCTCATTAACACGAGTGAGATGAGTCTTCAGCCTTGAACTCTGATCCTTTCTGATGTTTTTCAGTTGTAAGGAGCTCACAGTCAGCATGACGGTAGGGTACTATAAGTGGGTGGCCAGTCAGTGTGTGGGTTTTTGCCCAGCCCGGACTGATGGGCGCTTGCTGAAGCGTGGGTGCTTCATTGCAAAGCCGCACCCATGTGTGTCTTTTATTAAAAACTCTTTTCCCCTGATTGGTTCACTCTGTCAGCCCACACAAATAAACATTGCTCTAACATAATCCTACCCAGCAGCTACAAACTCCTTGCTGCTCTCCTTGTCTTCCCTCTGTCCTCCCTTTCTCTTCAGTCTGGGACTGCCCCCCCCCCCCTCTCTCTTTTCATACAGATGCAGTGGAGAAACAAGTGAGTGACAGTGAGAGACAATTTGTGACAGAGAAGTGAGGAGGGAGAAATCTGCTCCTGTGTTGTTGAGCAGCCAATCCCTGTGAAAGGAAATCCCCCTTGGCACAAAGAGAGCTCCATCTTTTGTGTAAGGAAGCACTTGAGGTCTTTTCTTGTTACGGTGGAACACCACCCCCCCTCACAAAGTCCCACTCCACGTTGTGTTTTCCACCACAGTTCTCACCCCCTTTCATTGTTTCCCCTTTGATACTCATTTGTCCCTGAATTTATTTTAAACGGATTCCACTGGCAAAAAAGAAATACTCCAACATGATAAAAGTAATGTGTTTTTTTTTAAACTCTACCCAAAGTGAGCTGTAAAAGACAGACCTGCCTGATGTGGGAAAACTGCTTTCTGACCCTGGAGAATTGCCATGGTAACCATACAACCAGCTGTCCAGAGACCTCTCAGGACAAAGCACACCTTCCCCATGTTGTCCTGGGTGCAACTCATGAAGAATCACTTCATGACACATTTATCAAGTTCAAAACTTCATGTTGTGTCCCATGCTGGGAGATTAAGAGCTGAGTAAAAGTTAGTTAGGTGAGACCTACCATCAGAGCTGACAGTATCTTGATGACCAGGGTAGTCCTGTCCAGTGTCCCTGTAATCCACCCAGTTAATCCCCTCTAGACTGTTGTAGCTGGACAGAGCTTGATCCTTCACCGGTACCACTGTGAAGTGAGGCATGTTTTCATCACTATCCTCTGTGTCTCCAGCTCAGCAACTCAACATAGCAGGCTAGCTGTTAGCCAGCCTCAGTTCAACTCCCACTAATGGCAACTACATTCCACTGCACTGTGCTCACTTCCTCTAGAGGCTATTATCATACTCCCCGCCCACAGGCCAGCCCCTTTTTTTTTTGTGTGTGAACAGAAGGGCACGGAGGTCTCATGGATGCATTTGGAAAGACCCCCTCAACCCTAGGAGTGACCCGTGGGACACAACTCTGATTGAGGAGCTAGCATTTTCATCCCTGAGTCATGTAAAGTGAGAGGGTGAGAGAGTAGGGTGACCCCTTTCTGCTGGCTGTGTCATAATGACAGCTAACAGCGTGAACCTGGTCTGTCCAAGGTTCAGACAGGCTGTCCTCTGTGTATGCAGGCCATTCCCAAATCACACAGACAGCTACGTGGCAGTTTGGAAAATAGTCAAACTAAATTGGTGAACTGGAGGCACAGAGTGGAAAAGAGAGGAAAGAAAAAACTGTTTGTCAAAAAGAGAGGAAACTAAATGATCCCAGATCCCATTCCAACTGTGAAAACAGCTTAACAGTTATTTTAACCTTTGGTCAATCAGAATTTGAAATAGTTTTTCTCCCCCAATATTTGCTAAATCATTCAATATGTGACAATAAATGAATGCTTATAGTGTAATATGTCTTCTCCAGCTGTTGAAGCTGTGAGGACAGGCTCAGCAGTGTTTAAAGTGACATCACTGACAGAGGGTAAAGTTTACCCTCCTCTTTCCAAGAATAGTAGCTACTTAAACCATGAAAGCAGCACATCAAAGACTCAGCCTAGAAAGGCTGTTATTAAAGGTCCTGTTTAAGGCTGTTTTAGATCTTGCTACTGCTCCATTTGGATTGCAGAGGGTTTTTAAACTGTTAAAAGTGTCTGGGGTGTTTTTCACTTTGATTTAGAAACAGCTATCCTCCATTTAAAAAATAAAACAATACTTAGGGAAATAGTCTATGAAAGAGTTAAAGGGCAATTCCCTCATTTGGCTGAGGTGCTGAAGGGACAATCACATGTCCCTATGTATGAGAAAAATAACTCTTGCACATTGGGATCTGCACACACTATTAAATTACAAACATGCTTACGGTTGTAGACCTTTTTCAGGCATACAAGGCAAACCAAGAAAATCCAGACCTTATAGTCACAGCATGTAAATGTAGTCTTATGGGACATATGGACTACAAAAAACAAATAGAAAAATAATAATCTATTGAAATACATGCTTGATCATCTGTTACAGGAAATTGTATTCTTTAATAATTAGTACATTTAATTGTAATTGTTAGAGCCCTGTCCCAAAATAAAACATATTGCCATTTTCTTCTCGCTCCTCTCTACAGACAGAATAAGTTTTTGACGTAAAAAAATGATTCCATTTCCTGACTAACTTGCTGGCTTGGCAAAGTAATACACATAAGATGCCATCAACCATATAAGGTTATTTCCTAGAATGACTAACCCGTGCAGTGCTGTGTAGAAGTGAGGGTCAGTGAGCAGCAGGCAGACAGGACCTTACGCCCTCTTTTCTTCCACCACAATGACTCAGCCTTCTGGGAAGATGTGAGCAGGAGGGACTGGTCCCTGAAAACATGAGGCCCACAAGGGTCAGCTTGTTTACAGCAAAGGAAGAGACTGAAGGATCTGGTGAAGGTACTGGGGTGAGAAACTAAAACAGTGCCCACATTTGCACTGTGCTGGTCCTGTATCACTTCTGAGTCAAGTTTAGGCGATGCCTCTCGGTCCACAGAATATGGCTGAAGGAGCAACGCTGTACTTTACTGAAAGAGCTAAATGACAAATGATTAGCTGAGGATAAAGATTGCATGTAACCTGTTTCCCACCTGATTTAAAGGACATTCAAAAAGGTTTATCAATTTCTTCTGCTTTGCCTTTCAGGCTTGTGAATACAACAAACTACCATCGGCTACTCCTGGTCCCATGCACTTTCTTCTAATGTGTCAATATTGCACTTGAACAGATGTGATACCACAAGATAAGAGCATTCTGTTTTGACTTAAGATTGTGTTATCACTTGGTGCTACTAAACTGCAGTACGCGCTTCTCTGACTTGCAATTATAGCTATCACCCACTAGATGGCAGCCTTACATTACCTCAAAAATACTGCAAACACATTTGGTGTTTTCATCCTCGAGATAAAAATATAGGTGATCTCCTCCCAGATGTCAGGCTTTTAACACCTAATAAATACAGCAGTTACATATGTTTCAACATAACCTCCCAAATATTTAATTTGGCAAACATCAATGGTCAATCTCACAACAGATTTCAGAAAGAGGATAGTCCGAAAGACTTTTTTCTCTTAAAGGCACCATTTGAATTACAAAATATTCACAAACTGAAATTATTCTGAACTGATTAATAAAATACAAGCATGCTTTACTCCGGTGTTCAGGAGTTGGTCTTAAGTCGTATTGTAGTCCTTACTAGCATGCTGAAAGGCATGATCCTCTGCTTACAATACAAAAGTTATTTTCTGTATTGTAGAGAAAGATTTATGTCATGTAATTTTCTAACTGAATTGTTAAACAATATATTTTTGAATATCTGTGGTAGCCAGTTATTTCAAGATTTTGGGAAATTGTGATGTAAAATAAACACCTTTTATTTCAACCATATTTCCCCACAATCACCTTGTCTAGTACCTGAAATTTCACCAGATAAAGAACAACTTTGAAGACTGTTGTCTGAAAAAGGGGATTTATCTGTGTTTTAAATGAATGGTATTTAGGTGCATGGCTTAATCTGATTGGTTGGGAAAGTTAAGGACTCCTTGTCTTTCCACATTGATTAGGATTTTCTAATACTGTGCCGAAGGGGACTTAAGTCGATCCAATTACCTTTGGCTGCCATCATTAGCTTGACGTGGCCATCGGGGTCTTTCCACTTTGTCTGTTGCACTGAAGATCTGCATCTGTGGACAATGAATGCCATTCAGCCTGGCAGCAATGGTGACTGAAATATTGGCCGTGGTATTTTATTGCCTCTAAAGCAGCTTTACCAGTCTTTACGGTTTGACTGTGTTTTTTAAGTAGAACACTGGATGCTCCAGGTTCACATGAGGCAGGTTTTTCTATAGGACCTTTGCTTTCATAGAATATAAAGCCTATCTAATGTTCTGCATGATGATTTTTTATAAATCAAAATGCACTGATATACTATGATGGAATCTATGTTTCTCTGTATGCGTGTCAATAGGCTATCTCAATCGCATGTCTGGAAAACCGTTCATCATATCTACGTTCAATATTCATCAACTTTGAATAAATAAGAGACCAGCGGTCTGTGCTGCGGCGGGGGTGATCGGCTTCAAGGGCCAAGGCAGATAGCATGTCTTCTGCAGCGGGCCTTTACATGACCCTGGATAAATAATGTTAAATAGACGCTGGAGACTCGGTCTCCGCCACTTTCCAAGAGTCAGTGAGCACGAGCGAATAGCCTAAAGTAACAACGCCACTCTGCTAAATTGTGTACGTTTTTGCCATACTAATTTAAAGTTACAGCTGGCAATATACCTCCATAAATCAAATCCATGCTCTACTTTATAACCGCTTGGCTATGTCAGAGCAAGCATGACACAAACACAAATGTGCCTGTTTGACGCGATCCGCCTGTCCAATATAAATAAATAAATAAATAAGGATGCAAATGAGGGGATTTTTTTGCAAAAACGCAAAAACTCTGATTTTTTTCATTTATGTGAGAAGGTACATTTACATATTCTGAAGAAAACCAGCCGACTGTGGCTTCAAATAATTTATTTTGCACGAATTAAACTATGAAATGTTAGCAACATTATTCAAAAGAAAACAAAAATCTTTTTTTCAGTATTGCTACTAATATTAGTCACAGTGTCATATTCTGATTTGTTGGCTACTTTTCTTAAACTGGATGTGCACCACAGTGAAAACAAAGGACATAGGCCTAGTTGGAAAACCTGTGGACAGGAGACAGGTGGCCAAAACATCAATGGACTAAGCGTTGTGGGAGAACTCAAGTCCAATGGGAAATTCTGTGGTTATTGAAGATTTTTCGACCATGAAGGTCTTCTCCCAGTAAGTGACACCCTCCTTTTCTCTGTCCACTCTTTCTCTTTACTGAAATAAAATGGCCGCTGTGCCTGTCTGTGAGCAGAATTTTTGTCTGTGATATAGACTTTGTCATGGAAGACATTTTGTCCTTGCTTACTGAGACTCTTGAGTAGCACAGAGCCATAGCTAGTTTTCGGAACCTGTGTGACATTCCTGTAATGATGGCTCAAAATGTTTGCAGTGAAAAAGACCCATTGTTGATGGGGTGGTTATATCACTTTCAACTGGCAAAATGCAATGCATTGTCTTTGCCTGGATGAAGCTGTGAGGGCTGTGTGTTGTGCAGAGGTCTTGGTTGCTTTTTGGTAGGATTCGTGGTAGTTTTGGTTTTAATTAAGCTGCGGCACATTTATTGAGATTTGATAAGTAAATTGCCAACGAATACTGCGTCTTAATTTTCTATCACTAGATTGGAGGGGTGTGTAAGTCATGTATTTGATACATGCATTTATACGTTTCAGTGTGATTCATTATAATCGGCACAAGTCACATAGCAGAAAGTAGCACATTTCAGTCTTATATTCCACCACTATTGTGTACTTTATAATCAAGCATATCTATTTGCAAACAATCTGAAAGATATGTTGATGAAAATATAAATATTTGGTCTGTTTTGGTTGAAAATGGGGTTTGGGTGTAGGACAGGACTGGGAAAGACCCTGCATCGG